TGTTTCCTGAAAGGAAAACTCTTTCTGCATGGAATTCCTGCAGGATTTTCTCTTGCTCATTTAGGACGGCGTTGGTCATTTTGAACCTTCCTCCTTAATTCTTGTTTCCCCCGTTCCGCCTCTGAAGCCCTCGCCCCTCTGGGCTTCCTTTCGCTTTTCTTTTCAAATTTGATTTTCTGTCGGTTGGCAGGCTCTTTGTGTCTTTTGTACTTGGCAGAAGGAAGAGGGAGAAAAAGTGGTTGTTTTTTTTCTCCAGCAAGCGGATAAGCAAAGAAGAAGAACATTAACCCTCAAGATGCAGGTTTTTGCTGTTCCTTAAAGTTGGCAGATTTTAAAAACGAAACTAAGGCGTCAAACAATGATTCAATATTTTCCTAATCTCTTCCCCTTCAAGCAAGAGAGAGAGAACTTTTAAGCTGTTTTTAACTTCCTTGTTATTGCAAGGGCATTTTCCAGGAGAACTCTAAGTCGTTATAATACAAGCTGAGAGCTTAATACTATACGTTTCTGATTTTCAGCTTGTGAAGCGAGGAATAGCAATAATCAGCACAGGTAGACCTTGACTTACAACTATGTGAAGCCTGGATAATATGGTCATAAGCTGTGACAGTCATCAACCATGTCACCATGTAATTGACTCAATTTTACAACCTTATTTGCAGCAGTTGTTAAGGAAATGGTTTGCTATGAGCTGTTTTGTCAAAAACAGGAAATAAAGTTTTGAGCAAAACCACCCCAAAACATGGTCACGTGACTGCAGGACACTGCATACAGCCATAAATGAACGTCAGTAGCCAAATGCCCAACAAAGAATGCCACAAAAAAGAGGGAGTCAAGCTATTCCCCAAAGCCCCTGAGGGCAGGACAAGAAGCAGTGGGTGGAAACAAATCAAGGAGAGAAGCAACCAAGAAATAAGCAGAAATTTCCTGACAATTAGAACAATTAACCAGTGGAACAATTTGCCTCCAGAAGTTGTGAATTCTCTAATATTGGAAATTTTTAAGAAGAGATTGGGCAACCATTTGTCTAAAATGGTATAGGGTTTCCTGCCTGAGCACGGAGTTGGACTAGAAGACCTCAAAGGTCCCTTCCAACTCTGTTATTTGGTTCTATTCTATTCACACTCAGTCACATGATCGCAACTGGTTGTAAGTTGCGTATATCTGTACCTCAGGGTTGAACTGTGGAATCCTTGGTGCTCTCTGAGAGCATGGTTGTTTCTTTGCAGACGTTCCATTACCCAACTAGGTAATACCATCAGTGCTAATAAGTGTACAAATAGGGAGCAAACTCACACTCACTAGCACTGACATTACCTACTTGTGTAATGAAACGTTTGCCAGAAAACAACCAAGCGCAGAGAATACCAAGGACCCCACAGTGTCAAAATCATCCATAGATCAGAGAGCAGACCAGCTTTATGTGTGTTTGCTCTTAGCAGAGCATTGAAATAATCAGGATTTCTAGAAAGAATCTGAAGTTTCCGAGTTCATTGTGCCCGCTTCTTCTGCTATCCAGAGACTACAGGTAGCCCTCGACTTACAACCACACTTGAGCTCAAAATTTCTGTTGCTAAACGAGACATTTGTTAAGTGAGTTTTGTCCCATTATACAACCTTTCTTGCCATAGTGTTAAATGAGTCATTGCTGTTGTTAAATTAGTAACATGGTTGCTAAGTGAATTTGGTTTCCTCATTGACTTTTTTTTGTCAGAAGGTCACAAAAGGTGATCACATGACCCCAGGCACTGCAATCGTCATAAGGCAGTTGCCAAGTGTCTGAATTTTGATTGTGTGAACATGGGGAAGCTGCAAGGGTTGCGATAAAAAAGAAGTTGAGACTCTAGAAAGAAAGAGAAAGAGAAGAAAAGAAAAAGAAAGAAAGAGAAAGAGAAGAAAAGAAAGAGAAAGAAAGAGAAAGAGAAGAGCAACAGAGATGATTAGGGGACTGGAGGGTAAAACCTATAAAAAACGGTTGCAGGAATGGGATATGTCTAGTTTAATGAAAAGAAGGACCACGGGGGGCATGGTAGCAGTGTCCCAATATTCGAAGAACTGTCACAGAGAGGAGGGGTGCAACCTGTTTTCCAAAGCATCTGACGGCCAGTCAAGGAATAATGGATGGAAACTAATCAAGGAGAGATTCAACCTAGAAATGAGAGATTTTCTGATAGTGAGAACAATCAACCAATGCAACAGCTTGCCTTCAGAAATTGTGGGAGCTTCATTACTGGAAGTTTTCAAGAAGAGACTGGACTAGCATCTGTAGGATTTCCGGCTTGGGCAGGGGGTTGGACTAAATGACCTACAAGATCCCTCCCAACCAGTGGTGGGATTCAAAGTTTTTTACTACCGGTTCTGTGGGCATGGCTTGGTGGGTGTGGCAGGGGGAAGGATACTGTAAAATCTCCAGTCAGAGGTGGGATTTGCCGGTTCTCTAAACTACTCAAAATTTCTGCTGCCGGTTCTCCAGAACTGGTCAGAACCTGCTGAATGCCACCTCTGCTCCCGACTGTGTTATTCTCTTCTTCTGAGTGTGAAAAACACTCAAGTCATATTTTCAGTGTTGTTGTAACATCAAACATCACTAAATGAAGTGATGTAAATCGATAATTACCTGTATTCCTCTAAACCAGGGGTCTCCAACCTTGGCAACTTTAAGCCTGGTGGACTTCAACTCCCAGAATTCCCCAGCCAGCTGGCTG